ACGTTTCCAGCAACTGAACGAACAGTAGTAGCTCTGATCTTGTAACCTCACTATTCTTAGCACCTTAGCACCCTTTGCCTTAACGCTGCCTTCGATGGCGGCAGTCTAGCCTTCTGGGAGCTAAAATAGTAGTTTTAGTTGGGATTTCATATTGGTAGATGCCGCTCTAACTCAGTACGTTGGTCAGGCGAGTTGGTGAGTGTTGTGCCTCCTTCACTTTACGGGGTATATTTCTCAAGCTTTGTAAGCGTTGTTGAATTTGCCAGAGCCTAAAGGTTCAACTATACATCGTCTTATAAACCCGTTGCCAACCTCCTACCACGGAGGAAGTAGTGGATGTAGGATCTAGGAAGGAATTTATTATTTAGCTGTTTATTGTCGATTATCGGGCTTTGATTCAGATGATGCCAGTTTGTAGTTGAATTTACCCAGTATTATTTAAGTTAAGAAATGTGACTAATTGTAAACAAATGGAAAGCAAGTACGAGTTTATGAATTACGCTGCACAGAGGTTGCTGGGACACTGGAGGGCTGATTCCGTTCAATGTAATGCAAGACCTCAAAGAACACTTCGATAAGAATAAGTATAATAATCATAATTTCGAGATGCACGTTGTGCTTGTCAGCGATGCTGCCATCCAACAGCTGCAACAGCTCCATGCAGTAGGTCAGCCTCTCATTGACAACGCGACTCCGTCTAGCCACGTTAAAAATTGAATAGGCACGCATGTACAGCCGTTCGAGTTCCTCCTCGTCCCAGTAAAAGTCAGGCGTGTCCAATATGTCGCTTCCGTAATTAATATGATGACGCAGCATAAAGAGATAGCCTGCCTTACGCAACACTTGAGACTTTGATAACGCGATCTTTCCATGTTTCAGATCTTCAGCTACCACTTCCAACGAGTCCATGAGATCTTCAAGTAGCGATTCCCAAATCGAAAGCTAAAATTGAATGAATCACAATTTATACCAGACCTCAAAACAGTTGCTTTCATACCTGATATTTATATCGAAAACTTAGACTAGTAATATCCAGTATCTCGTTCACAGAATGCAAAGGCATAAATAAGAGTTAGACACTGTATATTTTATTCAGCTGCCATTATATCCGCATGAACTGGCCGTAAACCACAAATTATCAGAAAACACTCCTGGGTGAAGAGGAATATCCTCTACGAGAAACAGATTCCGTACTAACTACACGTATATGCTAATCAAACGAAAGTTGCAAGCATTGCTGATCAAGGAAAGGAGCGAAGGGCATGTCCGCAACAGCAATATTATTACAGTAACAGTACAGTTGTAAGCAGCGCCTCTTTCCTTTCAAAGGTATTTCTGCCAGTCGAGACTTTAGCAATTCTGCTCCTGTACTTCTACCGTGAAATTTATATATCAGAAGAAACAGATCAACCGCCGAAGTAATCGCCTTCAATACTGTGTAGAGCACACCGATAGAATTTTTCCGAGGTGACATCACGTGTCGATTATAACATTTTACAGTGAGCTACAAAATGGGTCACGGCGAAATGCAGCTACGAGAGATGCTCGCATCTGACAGTGCGGCCCCAAGACACCAGGATACCAAGCTGTTCCCGTTATTTGAAGTCAACGACTTGCTACCCGTTTCACATCTGGTTGCAGGGAGGTACGGTGGGAGTAAATTGCTGAAACCCGTGTTTCGGGTTCACATCCGCATATCCGGAGTTAGAAGCTGACCATTTGAACAGCCTGCCACCTAGCGCCAATTACAGTCTCGAAAATTACTACAAATATAAGACAAAGCTGAGCATGAACTGACAAAAGAAACACTAAAGATACGTTAGATCATGTAAATTTAAGATTTCTTCATGATTTGCAGGAAGATAATATTTCCTGGTTTCAGAACTGACGTGTAAATTTAACAGCCATGACGGTCTTTCGAAGTTACTGGCGATGATGAAAGCTTTAAAGGTACAAACTCTAAAAGCCGGCAAATGACCATCTTACCAGTGGGCACAGAGAAATTGTGAAGCTGTCAAAATGCATCCATACTGAACGCTACCTCAACTTTTATCTCCACAGCCGACATCCTGAAAGCAGGACTGCTTTTAACGCTACACTTTCGAACGAACGACCCCTCGAGGACGCCCTTTCTCCACCAGTTGAACAGCAAGCTTATGCTCGAACAGGAGAAACAGTGCTAGCTAAAGACTCGCCAATAAGCAGTTTAACAAAGTGAACAGGAAATTAACCGGATAACAAACGAGGAAAAACAACAACTAGCGGATACGGGTTGCAAAACCGCCCTCTCCTAGTCATCTCTGACCAACTGATCTTGAACAAGAAAATTAAGAACCTCATGGCCAAGTACGGGATAACCACGATTTGCAGATTCCCAAACAAGCTTGGCAGACTTCTATACAAGAGAAGCATTCTACCAAAAGCAGGCAAAGTATATCGGACAAAATGCTCGTGCGACGAGAGCTATATTGAACAAGCCGGTAAAAAACGGTGTAGAATCGGATTAGTGAACTTGGCTTGTCTCAGAAGGGCATATAAGAAAGTATCTACTGTTGTGGATCACTTTGTATAACGACATGCAACTGTTGGGAAAGATCTTGGAAGCAGTCACGGTGGAATGGACAAAAATCAAGAGAAAACTGACAAGGTGAGTCAAGCATATCTTCCTCTTTTATATAACAAAATTTTCAATGAATGTATACTTCTGTTTACAAACTCACCACAACATTACTGCAATCTTACCTTCACACAAAATGCGTCCAAGCTCAGACTCTGGCACAGAATCGTAACACTGGATGCACAGCCTGAACAGTCTGCCTCCGCGACCGATGAAGACACTCAAAATGCATCAGCAACAGAAAGGGTCCCGGAACCAAAACAAAGTTCGTCATCGAAAACATGGGAGGGCTACAGGTTGGGGTGGTAGTAGTGCCAATGGCTAATAAGTTGTTCTGAAATAGTATGCTGATTGAAGCGCAAAGCGCTGCGTGAATTTGCAATATTAAGTGGTAATTCCCTTGAGAAAGCGGTTCACCCCACCGCCCTTCGATGACCCAGCCGAAAAATGGGTAGTGTCGATCGTTGAGCTGCGAATATCAGAAACAGCACGGTGCTTTGTTGTGTGGTCATGTCAAACTTACGATCATTCTGTCTGATACCTCCGTCTTCCAGCTGTAATTCACTTTGAGCCATCTGATAGCTGACTAAAAATCGGCTATAAATCAATTGTAAACGTAAATTTAAAAAAATATTAAGTTTTACCCTGCCAACAGGTGGCTTGCCACCTTGAGATGCCAATTCGTTGAAGAACTGACTCCGGATTAACCAGTTACTGCGCACTCCATGAACCCGAATTAAACTATTTAAGTAAGTATCTAAAAATCTATTTCATTAATTCAATGTTCACAAACTTTAATCCAAAACTTTGAATGT